AAATAATTGTATCTTATTACAAATGGCGGATTAAATCCCATAAGGTGGTCTCTAACAGTCTAAAAATACGAGTTAAGCAATCCCGCTGAGGCACGTATAGTATTTTTCTCAAACAATGTGAGGAAATGAAATAAAAAATTAGGGGATGAATCGGGTTAAATGAATTTCACCCACTTTCCGTTAGCCGATTTCAATAAAACTTGGCACATAGATGTAATTCCAATGAAAATAAAATGTTATGGTGACATGGACCTGATCTGAATACGGATATGGCAGACAGATGAGAGGAACTCCTCGTCAAAATATATAAGAGAATTTTAATAACTCTTCTAACTCTTGACTAAGTTCGTCCGTAGAATCTGCAAACCTCACTTCTGAAAAGTTGTCATTTTGCAGATTCTTTCTCTCAGACGAGAGAAGACGACTTCTCCTGAATGTCCTACAATGGTACAGACAGACCGTATAAAGATATTAATTTTAATGTAAACGTGAAAAAAGACGTGGTGACTTAAACTGAAACTGAAATCAGCGCTATAGGTAGGTTGCTCAGGTACGCTGAGCAATTTACACTTATTATTTACATTTACATTTATTTATTTACTCATTTACATTTATTATTACTCGTATTATTATTGTGTGTTTAATGTGATGTTGTGAGATTATCAAATTTGCATTTGAGTGCAAATTACTTTTCTTTGTCTATTTGTTGTATTATGCTACCACAATAAAGTTTCCTTATTCCTATTCTTATTATTCTTACTTATCGCTTCTTAAACAGAGGCCGTGAATTCTGAGTTTCTCGGAATTTATGCGTGATACAGCAGTCATGCGCAATTGCTCAATTGCGTTGTTGTTCGTGTAAGGGTCGACGCACAAAACTGCGAGTCGGTGCGATGCGAATGCACTGCTGTTATTGATAAGAAAGTATAGGAATAATACACAAAGAAGATTAACATCGCAGGAATGCGCGATGCGAAGCAATTCGCAAATTCTTGCAATGCTTCATGCGAGCTCGTAAATTTCTGCGACGCGACGTCGCATCGCAGTTTTGTGTATCGACCCTTAAGACGTTGGAAGGAAATGGGTAAGACGCAATCGCGCACTCCAAATACGAGCCAGTTTCACGCGGTCTATCCTGCGCTGTTAGCCTTTACACAGACGCTTTTTCCGTTGAAACAAAAACGAACACGAGCAATCACGCCAGAAAGAACGTTAACTTAAAAAATTTCAAACAGGTAATCGCACAAGATTGCGCGTGCAGGCTTTCCCGTGCGCAACTGGGGGCTATTTAATTTGGAATTTACAATGAGCTTACACACACACACAACTCTCTCTCTCTCTCTCTCTCTCTCTCTCACACACACGCACACACACATACACAAACACACAGATAAACACACGTATAGTTTACAAACTTTCAAATTGTATTGTTAGTTAGTTCATACATTTAAATTTTGTTTTCTTTTTCATTATTGTATAACCTTAACCATACACTTAATTTTAACCTCTACAATCATAAAGAGAAAAAGAAAGTTGTCTGTGGTGAGAGACCTGGTAACCTTAATTACAAGCTTCTGCTTACTTTAGGTACCAGTCCTTTGCAAACATAATATAAACACAATTTTTGTCTAACTTACTTTGGTTCATGTTCAGTTGTTATGTTTGTGGAGAGAAATAAATAGGTACATAAATACATTATTATAGCTTATCGGTGAACTAAAACATTGTGTCAAAGAATGTTCACAAGCTTCGGAGAACGTGAGAAGTCCCCAAACCCGCATTAGGCAGCGTGGCGGACTGTAGTCTAAACATTAGATGTAGTCTAAACAAACAAGAGAGGAGACTCGTGCCCATTAGTAGGACTTATAATTGGGTAGATAATAATGACAATGAAAAACGTGAAAGTAACCACACTCGCTGTAAAACTAACTGATGATACAAAATCAAGCATAACAGTTATATTTATATTACAGAAAATATTGATGCCAGTATCACCGTTACCAAACTGTTAATGAACAATTTGTAAAGTAAACACAAACTAAGTAAGTAAGTAAAGTAAAGTAAATTAAGTAACTTGTTACTGAATCTTATTTATCTGTAAATTATCTACCTATTTTCTGTAAATCTGAATTTCCAAACAGATTTTGCTAATAATGTAACGAGCTCAACCGGCACTATTTTATCAAAAAAGTATACAAAATAAACCTACAAGGCTGGTTCCAGAGCTGTGTGGATTTAACTTCGGACCGTACGCGCGGAACACCGGAGCGGTATGTCTCAGAGTGACGAGAGTAGAGGCAAAGCGCCTTAAATCTTTGCAATACCGAGTTCTGAGTGACTGCATCTGTTATGAATAGGCGTGTCTCTTACCACCAGGTGCACGACTTGTTCGTTCCGTCACTTGGTATATAAAAAATACAATAAATGTATACGAAATACATAGGTACATAAGAAATCGTTCCACTCGCAATCGCTAAGTCTCAAGTCGTGTATAGCGAGCGCGACATGCCGTGACATGATTGTATACTACACAATGCTCTGAAGTTCTTTGTAGCAACTTCTACGTTAGTATATACAAACAACGGCACGTCTCTCTTCTACAAAAAAAACCTACTTAAAGAAATTGAATCTTATATATTAGGGGTTAAAGTATGAAATTGCCGTTTTATTGCAATAGGTTCTTTGAATTTTCATAGAATCTTCATGGTTTGAGGTTTTCGAATGAAACTTTTTTCAAACGGTTTGTGATTTTTTTTTTTTAATTTGAAACATTTGAATATCGACTTTCAATTGTTTTTGTTATTCAATTTAGACAAGAAAGATGGATACTGCGCAAATTCGAGTGATTTTTGAATACGAGTTCCGACGCGGAACTAACGCGGCAGAAACAGCCCGCAATATCAATGCTGCGTTTGGAGAGGGGTCTACTAATGAACGCACCGTGCGATTTTGGTTTAAACGCTTTCGTGATGGAAATTTCGACTTAAAGAACGAGCCACGAGGAAGACCGCCCAGGTGAGGCCCACACAGGTGAATAACGATGAATTAAGAGAGATAGTGGAAGCCGATCCTAGTCAAACTACCCAGGAATTAGCGGCATGGTTTAACGTTACCTTACCCACAATATTGACTCACTTGCGTCAAAGCAATAAAATAAAAAAATACGAAAAATGGGTGCCTCATGATTTGACTGATCTGCAGAAAGAAACGCGTGTTGAAACTTGTGTTGCCTTGTTGAACCGGTACAGAAATGAAGGAATATTGGATCGAATTGTAACATGTGATGAAAAGTGGATTCTTTATGATAACCGGAAAAGAAAAATGCAATGGCTGACCCCAGGTCAAATGCCACAACAGTGTCCTAAAGCAAAACTTACCAATAAAAAGGTAATGGTAACTGTTTGGTGGTCTCAGCATGGTGTTATTCACTATAGTTTTCTCCGATCTGGTCAAGCAATAACGGCAGATGTCTATTGTGCCGAACTCCGAACCATGTTGACAAAACTAGCAGTAAAACAGCCCCGACTCATGAATCGATCTTCACCATTATTGCTCCACGACAACGCGAGACCTCACACAGCACGAGAAACCATTTTGACCCTTCAGGAACTGCAGTTAGAAACCATTCGTCATCCTCCGTATTCACCAGACCTTGCTCCAACGGACTACCATTTTTTTCGTGATTTGGACAATTATCTACGTGACAAGAAGTTTTCTTCCCAGGAGGCAGTACAAAATGCTTTCACACAGTTTGTGCAGTCTAGATCGTCGGAGTTCTATCGCAAAGGCATTAATAACCTTCCCATTAGATGGCAGCAATGTATAGATAATAATGGCAACTATTTTGATTAAATAAATTTGTTAAAAATTTAAAAAATAAACAATTTAGATTTTCAGTACAAAATCGGCAATTTCATACTTTAACCCCTATTATTATACAGGGTTATTTTTAAAATACTAACAACCTGTCAGGAATATGTGGCTCACATCATAAACAACAACTGTTGTTCCATGACTTAATAAGTCATCAGATTTTAATTTCATACAAAAATTAACAGATTTAAGTAGATCACTCTAAACGGTAATAACTCTGTGCAGGACGGGGGTGGCAGTCGGCGCAAAGGACGATTGCACGTTAAACTTATTCTACCAAATATAGATCTATTAAGTCTCAGGTAGTACAACAAAAAGGTAAAAGCGTAGATTTTAAGGCTTTCGTGGTTATTCACTAAATTATTATCACTAATTTCAAGTTTCTTACCACGGTATGACTTCTTTCTATTTTCTCTCTTACGCAAGAGGGTAGACTGATATGTCTGCTCTTAAAGCTGTCATCTGCCGCCGTCCAGTCAACCCGTGACCATGGAGCGTGCAACCGTTCCGAAATATCGGGAAAATATAAAGAAGTCATACCGTGGTAAAAAGCCTGAAATTAGTGATAATCATTTACGTAAAAGTATATTTTTGGTAAATTTATTACGTTTTGTAAAAAGTCAAGGAACAAAAGTTGTTGTTTATTATATTAGTAATATAATCCTGCGACGTTATTAGTGTTTATGTATATGTATAAACCTGTATGGTATTTTTGCAATACTTCTAGGATTGCAATAAGTTCATCGTTTCTTTCAACGCTAATGAAAATAACTTAGAATTTTGACGAAAATGACTAGGTATATGCTGGCAACCCCAACAATAAATATCAATAAATCCAGTATTAAAAATTATAAGAAAGTGGTGAAATAATTTCACGAAAAAGCATTTGAATATCATGGCAATAAAACATCGTGACAGTCAATAAACGTCATATTACAATTATTAAAGCGACATCTCTAGTCAGCCGCTGGTAGCTGTAAAGGTATATAAGGTTATAAAAGGTAGAAAGGTGAAGAAAAAACTTTCAGACATTTCTCACAGAAGGGGCTACGGCAAAAAAGTCGTTAAAAAACCAAAAACAAAGATCTGCAACAAGCACATAGAAAGATTTGTTGGTTCTGCTGATTCGCTCCGTAGCTTAGTTGGGAGAGCGTCGGCCTGGTAAGCTGAAGATGCTGGTTCGAATCCAGCCGGATCGAATGATTTTTTCCCTGTATTTGATGCTCTAAACATGTGCGTCATTACACAGCAGAATAAACAAGTTTACTGGCAAGCCTACACATATTATGATATTGAATACCTACTAAGTCATAACATGCCGTGAAAGATATTTTAAGGGAGGTGAAGAACTGCAAAATTAAAGGTGTGAAGATAATTATAAGAAGTAAACAATATTTATACATACAAAAAAGAATATGAAATTGTAGGAGTGTACTTAGTAAGATTAGTGATGTAATGCGCAGGTGAAGACAAGAGAAGATGGAGACACGGAGTTGGAGGCTTTGCCCTTCAAGAGGTGCAGTAAGGACAGAGGTGCAGTACCCGAGAGCAGCGAGGTTATTGGCAAGAGAGCATGAAACAGTGTTACTGGTGCAGCAGCAGGTAAAGAGGCCAGTTGTATTCTGGGGTGGCTTTTGCAGTATCCAGAGCGTCATCTTCAGCAGTTCTGATTTTGCGTCTCATGCACATATCCCTTACATATTAAATCCCATATCAGGGTGAGATGACTGCCCCCATAGCAAGACCGTAAAGATGACAGGTTACGCAAGAAGCTTCGTATTTTCATATCAGTTGAAGTCCATCAGTCTCTGAGTTAAGCTCTTGAATGGCTCAACTGTTCGCAACGCAACAAAATTCTAATTGGGAACTTTCAATCTGAATTAAAGGGCTAAGAATGTGGACGACCAAGACCAAAAACGGTCGTTCTACCTATCGGTCGAATATCGAACGAAAGAGAGACTACTTTATAGGATAGTCCATGGAAAAATAGAATATTGTAGGAGAATAACAAATCTATCTCTTAACGTCAACAATTAAAAATATCGAAATTTATATGTCGAGACAGTGAAATTATGACTAAATGCTATGAATAAACAATAATGACTAAATGCAACTGGAAAAAGTGGACACTAGAGTTCAGGGAAATTCTCAGTGCAGGCAGGTCGCGAAATCAGACCTGAAAAGTGAATCAGTCAACGTCAGAAGACAATGGCTAATAGAGGATAATTTAAGTGTTTAAAATGGTCCATTCAATACCTCCATGGCAGCTCGCCGCGTAGGCAGGAGACTGCTCACACACTAGGTATACTGCGTATGGCCCACGTATGGAATCTCGCAGAATAATTGCAGGATTGCAGGATGGCTTGCACGCTGCGACTACATTCATAATCCAACATTACGCGGCGGACGACAAGGCGGACTGCAATGCAGGACAATGAATGCCCCCTTTTAGGTATTTATAATACAGTAAATACTCGTTTTTTTTTAAGCAAACGGGCTTGCTCTAGATCACTACGTAGATTTGGAGCAAAAATAGGGGTTACGATGGAACGAGCTCACCCAGAAGATGCCTATTGCATATATGCGTGGGCTGTGCGTATAATAAAAGATGAAACTCGCTTAGTGCGCCTGAAGTGAACATCGTCCAAATAGAAATGATATCCCGCCTTACGTCTGGATGTCGATGGTTAAAAGGGAACGGGCGGATTGATCTGATAAAGCTCATGGCTCTCACCGAAGTATATATCAGTTTTAACTTTCAGGAATCCGGAAAAGTAAAGACGTTTCCTTGCAACATATGATGAAAGAGATGAAGTTGATAAGGAGTTCGTGGTTTCACACAAGAAAAGTAGAATAAGAAATTCTAAATCGAAATATACGGGGTTATTTTTAAAATACTAATAACCTTGCAGGATTATATATCATGAACAACATAAACAACAACTTTTATTAATTCGGCAGTTTACTTTCACGTAGAAACAAATAGATTTAAGTAGATCCCTCTAAATGGTAATAACTCTGTGCAGGACGGGGAGCATCGAGTATATAACCAGAAATAGAGATGAATTAAGGGCCAAATATTCCTGGTAACACATTAGCGATACAGCTCTTATAAATATCAACTCGCGTTTGCACTGAAATATAGACAGCGCCAACGACTGACCTGTGTGTACGTCTCCATATACTCCAAAAATATTCTATATTTATTGTAATAAAGATAATATCTCTATCGGTGGTGTTGGAAAAACAACAAAACATCTAATTACAAAACAAACGGAATCACATTTCATCGGTAATTGAATATTAAATATGTAATTTTGCAATTTTCGTCCATTATAGCAAAGCTCAAATTAACTGGTCGATTTGGAGTGAAACAGTTGACGACACCCACTGACGACACCCGTCAGTTGTGTCAACTAGCCAATCGGAGCGCAGTTGTCACAGTAATGATATGGCAGAATAGTTTTCAAACAAATTAAATTACATTTCGGATCTGTTTCTGGTTATATATACTCGATGAGTCATTATAACTACCCGAATAAATATGTCAAAGTGACAATACACTTGACGGGTGTCGTCAATTGTTTCACTTCAAATCGACCAGTTTAACTTGAGCTATAATGGCCGAAAATTGAATAATTACATATTTAATTACCAATGAAGTGTCGTTCCGTTTGTTTTGTAATTAGATGTTTCGCTGTTTTTCCCCACACCACCGAATCGAACAGCCCACCATAGTTAGAGATATTATCTTTATTACAATAAATACACAATATTTTTGGAATATACGGAGACGTACACACAGGTCAGTTGTTGGCGCTGTACCATTTCAGCTTTCTAATTTGTGATTTCAGTGCAAACGAGAGTTGATATTTAAAAGTGATTAATGGCTCATTTGCCGAATGAATTGCCAGAGATAGATGAACTTTATTTCGTCTCTATTTCTGGTTATATACTCGATGAAATGAATATATGGCGTTTCTAATCATAACCAACGTAATCGGCATTTTAGATAAACCGAATTATTAACATTATCTGGGATCAGCGAAACTAGATCTACAACCCCCTATAAGCGGTTATTTTATATCTTGTTTACTTCTAGTTTTATTGCTGTTAACAGATTGCCTACATGTTTGCAGTTAATGCGTGAAGTCGTAATCAATTTCAAGCAGCCGAGACCTCGCAGTCTATCTCGGCTGCACGAAGTCAATTTCAACTGCATGCAGTTGATGCGTGAACTCGTTATCAATTTCATGCAATCGAGGTCTCAGATATCATTTCACGCATTAATTGGATGCAGTCGAGGTCTCGACTACATGAAGTTGATTACGACTTCACGCATTAACTGCAAACATGAAGTCAATCTGTTAGCAGTCTGTGTCAATAATTCGAAAGTTACCGAACTGCAAATGCGTTAGTTATGACGAGGAAGGCAGTATAGTAAGTAGTTAATGAACTTAACCTTCGTTAACCTTCGTAACCTTCGTTAACCTTCGGTTTTATTTTACCATAGCTGGGTAAGAATAATATATTTTCTTATAATACCAAGTGACGGAACGAACTAGTCGTACACATGGTGGTAAGCGACACGCCTATCCATAACAGTTGCAGTGCCACTCAGAACTTTAAATCTCAAAGATCTATCTTAGGGTCACTGCCCCCCTGAGACATACGTTGACATCCTATGTGTCCCGTAATTTCACCAGCACCCTTACCCTTCCAAATTGGAACGCAATAATGCTCACATTACTGCTTAGCAGCAGAAATAGGGAAGGTGGCAGTACTTCCCTGGACGAACTCTTTCACAAAAACCTCTACTGCTGCTAAATATGCCAAACATACAACTTATCTGGTCTCTAACTTGGAAATTCCCTATACTCTGATTACCACAGCAAAGATCAGAACCAATTTAAAAAGTTCGTTCATCAAATTGGTCCTATTGGAAATCGAATACGGGACCTTCTCATCCATTGCCCACAGTGCCAAACCGTTGGGCCACTGAGGTCATCAAAATAAAATTCTTACTTTGGCCAATGGGGAGCGGTCATAAAGCAACCAATAGCCATCAATATTTCAACAATGTAGTAATCAATCCTATTGCTGCAATGGCTCTTTTATAGCCTCTTTACACAGCCACTGATCTTTAAGAGGATCCAATGTGACCTTTGAATAACTCTTTGATGCCTATATCGAGATATTAGGTTTTCGCCATTGTTGCACATTGGTAATGAAACTATTTTTTCGGATATAAATCACGTGTTTGTTATTTCAAACAAACCAACGTTTCGCGATCTTTACAGAAAAAAAAAATTGTAGAGCCCCTTGCGAAAGAGTTTGTCCAGTAGGGCTAGCACAACAGAGTGCGACTAGCGCGAGATACTGCTGTTCTCGCATGAGATCCCGAGTTTTATGTCGCTCTAACTCAAGTCGCGCCCTGACGTGCTAACCCTACAGGGAAGTACTGCCATCTTAAGTACTTATTTATATTGCGTATGTTGCGTTGCGTGATTTGTATGTGTATTGGAATTATATTCATTACGTAATCTACCAATAAATATTTTGCATTTACAAATTTAAAATGTCAATAAACATTTTTATTAATACAATTATTTAAAAATATGAAATCACTTAACAGGATTTAAAAATCATCCATAGGGTAAAACGTTTGATTAACAATTTTTTTTTTTAATGAAACGGCATAGGGGAAATCCAAACCCATATGAGATACAGGGAAACTGTCTTGGAAACATTAAGTCTTTTTTTATGAAAACAATTTTGGCATACTCAATTTCTTGGACAAGCGTGAGTTGCCAATGACAAAATGAATAATTGGTAATTTATATGAAAAAACTTTTTATTAAATTTGAGCAACTTCTGCTGTCCCCATTTTTTCTTCCAATACAATGAAATGGTCTTTACTCGAAACTGAGTTGATCACTACTAGAAAAAAGTAATAATTTCTTTTATTTTTTATGAACAACTCACACTTGATAGTTTTCACAGAAAGAAGACAGTTTCTCTGTATTTCTTATAATTTCGGGTTTCTCCATACTGTCCCTGTTAAAAAAGACACACTGTATGCATAATAATATTTCTTTTAAATGTCACAAGTACCGAGTTCTTAGGTTTTCGCGATTGGTACACTTAAGAAAAGAAACTATTAACTGCCTCCGTGGCCGAACGGTTACCATACCGGACT